TGCAAAAGGATGAAAAATTTGGTCATCCCAACTTCAGAAAGAGAAGCCACATTTTAATTGTCCAAGATGGAGCTGCAGCTATTATTTAACTTCTTTAATGACAGAAGAAAAATCCAATTTTCCCTGTTTACGAGAGGGTTGGTAATGCTTATGTAAATTGGTCCAAGTTGCTACACCAGGTTTGGTAGAGCAGATTTTAATTACACACCGACGAGCACCTTATATTTCTGTAGTTAAATGCATGCGTTGTTTTTCCTGTGTGTGTACTAGATAGACAGATTTAATGCTTTTAATGTGTAAGTGAACAGAGTTGATTATCCTTCGCTTACTCCAAACTTTCAGCTGTACCTTCAATAAACTACATGCATAATTCATGCTTTGCTTTGTGCATTTTATTTCCCTGCCTGATATTACAAAAGCATAGATATTTTCTCAAACCGGACTCTCCAAATGGGCAGGGTTGGTAGCTCGCAAGAAGTGGAGTTTTAACAAAGTGTTTCTGAGACTTTGTCTGCTCTCCTTCCTGATGCACTTTTGCATACCTTTATTCCATCCAGCGATGAGTTTGGCCACAAGGAAGTCTGGAAACGCAGTGTAAACCAGGATATTTAACTGCTCGTGGGATGTGCAGCTCACTTGGGATCTCTCACACTGTCTGGGATCTCTGGAGGCAGAACAAAAAAGCAGCCAGGCCCTTGTTTAAAGCAATCAGTGAGAACCAGCTCAGGTAGTAACAAAAAGAAAATAATCCCACACCCCACCCCTGAAACCCTCTCACAAGAGTAGGCTAATTTTAAAAGAAAGCAAGAGAAAAGTGTACTTTCCCAAAATGCAGCATCAGGGCCTTTCTTCCTCAAACGCCCCACCTTCCTTAAAACACATGAACTTACACGCAGAGCAGAGTCGGTAGGATGTGCCTGGACGTCCCCCTCCAACATCCCTTGCAGGGAGGGGAAAACCCTCTCCCATCATTTTAGGAGACTGGATTTAGGTGAGATCAGGCTGCCCCCTCCGTTTTCTCTGTGAGGGTCCCCACTTTCCAAGGGATGGTGACCCCCTGGAAGGTCTCTGTAAGATGGCTGGGAAGGGCCTGCCACGGTGGCACTCATCACAGCTGGATGCACAGCTGGATGCCGCGAAAACCATCTGGCCTTGCCAGCCTCCTTCCTTCCACAGCTCGCCTGGGCGCAGCCAAAAGCCCCTGAGACAACTTTGCTCTGAATTCCCCTTTGGAGAAATCTGTCTCTCCTCTCCCAGCCTGGAAGCAGCACAGGGTGTGGGCAGGCTAATTTACCCCATGAAAGGCACATCGAGGACCGGGTGTTGTAATTTATTCCCCGACGTCCCGCTCCGCTTCCTAGACTTTACCGCTGACTCACAGCTTGTCTGCCCCAACCTCTCCAAGGTCAGAGGATGAGTTCAACCACCCTGCCAGGCTCAGGCTGCCCACACCGGCGTGACGGTGATGAATCCTCCACTGGCTGAGCATCTGCCTCTGCTTCTCTCCCAGCACGGAGGCCGTACTGAGCATGGTGGATTCAGGCTTCGCATGTCTGCAGTGCTTTTCTGATGGAAAGCAAGATGGTTTATTGGATGTGATCCGCAGGTAGCAGATGACTAATTATTTTTTAATAAATGATGTGCCTTAGCAAAACTGTCTGGGATGGGGGGTGGTGAAATCCAACTGGATCAGCCCTTCCTGAGCAGGCAAAACCCACCCACCCAAAAGAGGGTGTTTTTCGAAAGGTTATCTTTCTCTTTTCTGTCTCAATGCATACGACTCAGAATTCATCTCATTTGTATGTAAATAACAAGCAGAAACACCCAAACAAAAAGCTCCCATTGCCCCAACAGCTTATAATTTAAGTTGATCTCCTCCCTGCACACCAATAACCAGTCGGCTCCCCAGGGTACCAAAGCAGCTCAGCAGCTCTTGCATTTCTGGGAGAATACCTTTAATCATCCCTGCCCCTCTCAACCCCTGAGTATTGCAAACCCCATGTTTTCTGCTGCCTACTTGAAAATGTTCATGTAGATCAGGCTATTTTGGAAAAAAAAAAAAGGCCAGGAGCAAGTTTTCTGGGGCAGTTGGGGGCCAAATCCTGCTCAGTGTCACTCCAGACATGCCCCTTTGTAGATTGACAGAGTCTAGTAGAGTTGATCCAAACTGACAGATGCAAAAAGCCACACCTGCCTCTGGGTATGGAGCCCACAAACCCCTGCTCCTCCACACAATAAACCAGCCCAGGAGAGAAATGGTATATTTTTCATCCAGCCTTTGTATCACTCGCATACCTTGTGGACAGTGAGCTGAAGGAAGAAGAGTGTGGGAGCCTAAAATGACAATTCCCTCTTTCTTGTTGGCAGCCCCACCTTTAATCCCATTATATTCATTCAGCTCTAATATCTGATCGGAACCCGTCTGTCAGCTTCAGGACAATCTGCCTTTACTGGGGTCAAAAAAGCATGAAGACAATCTCATTTTCCCATCGCACCCAGGCTTTGAATTTTATGCAAATAATCAAGGCAATAGACATTCATGAATTTCAGGTGACATCCCAGGAAGATTCAGCCCAAGATTTTCCAAAGAGAAGCAAGCTGACCTGTACCAACCGGGAATTTCACACTGCAATGGGAGTCTATTTGAGTGACCCAACTCTCCCCGTTTGAGCCAGCCTGGCAGCATTTCTCCAGGGATAATCAGATATTTGGTCTTCTGTATTTGGTAGAACATGAAACACCTGCTTAATTTTTCTTCCAGAGATGCCAGGGGGATTTTTAGCTCGCACTTAATGGTTTTGTAGCACTGGGGCACATGAATGTATTGCGAAGGACATGTGGAGTCCTGTCCTGCAAATATGTTTAAGCTCCAGTCATGCACACAGCATGGGCAATGCCACCAGGACAGCAACATGCTGAAAACTGAACCGAGTTCTTAAATATGAAGAATAAAATACCCTAAACATTGCAATTCCACAAAGTCTCAGATGCCAGAAAATGTCACCACACCCTACTGTATTTGCTTTTTTTCCCAAGCTCTCCAGGAAGTAAAATAACAAGAATTTGTGGGAGTACTTTCCATGCTGGTTAAATCTTTGCTTTTGGCAACATTTTGAACGGAAAGGTTCAAAGGTCTGTAAAAGAAATCACAGCTGCGAAGAGCTAGAAACTCAGGACTGATTACATCTTAATGTTAGCATGCAAATAATACAGTTCCACAAAGCTGGGCGAAGTGGTTTTCAGAAAATCTGCCTCTTTCACTGAAATGCTTTGTAGATTGAGATGAAAATGTATTGATCACATCATCAGTTGGCTGGAGACATTGCAACGGCAGCCTCTGGTTGGGATGGAGCTATCCTCTGCCAATATCCCTAGAAAGGAAGACTAGGAAGCCTGCTATAGACTAAATACCTAATACTAAATGGCCAAAATTTAAGGTGACATTTAAATATAGTGTCTCAGAGGAAAATCATGGATCAGGACCTATTTGTGCTAGGTACCGACTCAGCTCAAAAAGATGGTCTCTGCCTGACTAGTGTGAACAGGCAGACGGGCTAAATTAGAGCCCTGAAAGAGGTGTCAGGCTTCATGAACATCACACCCGCACTTTGCCTCCGGGTGAAGAAGTCCCATGAAATTTTTATGTTGAGATTTAGCCATTTTAGTCTCATTGCCTTTCACTCAAGTTAATTCAGAGGACGCTCCACTAAGCTCTGTACTGATCTACGGCATCTTATAAGTAGCATAGGGGTACCTGGGCAGCCATTTCTCTTTTTTACTCCTTTTTGTTCCTTTCCTTTTGCTTCGCAGCAAGGAAATAAAATAAAATACTTGTGCAAGCATACAGAGGCTTTGCACTAAGGCTGAGCTCTCCCTGCCAAAAATCAGGGAGTTAGATAACTTTTCTAGCTGAGCAGATTCGCACCGGCTCCAATAGGTGTGTTTGAGTACAATCAGTGTTTATCAAGTTTCAATAAGACAGCTGGCTGCCTGGCACGTCAAAACCATGAAGGCACTAAATTGATCACTGGACTTCCATGCAACCAAGCCCAGATCCCCAGGGGGATAAAAAGGGCATCCCGCACTCCATTCCATCAGAGCCGCACTCTCTCAGTTTGCTGCTTCTCACCAGTGCCGGGCTGTTATCTCCTGCTGCAATGAACCGGCAAACTTACAGCATGAGAGCGGGCGGTGGAGGCAGATCTTACAGCGCTGCCTCAGCTATTATTCCAAGCGGCAACAGGGCTGGCTTTAGTTCGATGTCTGCGGCACGATCTGGAGGAGGTGGGGGTGGTTTTGGAAGGCTCATCGGAGGAGGCGGCAGTGGTGGTGGTGGTTTTGGCAGCAGGAGCCTCTACAACCTTGGTGGTAGCAAGAGGATATCCATCGGTGTTGGAAGCAGCTTCCGAGCTGCGTTTGGGAATGGAGCTGGCGGTGGCTCTGGCCTGGGAGGTGGCGGAGCTGGTGGCAGTCTTGCACTTGGTCTTGGTGGTGGAGGTGGTGGATATGGCTTTGGTGGAGGTGCTGGTGGGCTTGGCTTTGGTGGTGGACTGGGAGGTGGTGGAGGGCTTGGCTTTGGTGGAGTTGGGCTGGGAGGATTCAGTGGAGGGCTGGGTGGTGGCAGGAACCCAGCGGGATTTGGTGGTGGTCCGCCTGGAGTCAGTACAATCCAAGAAGTGACTGTCAACCAGAGTCTCCTGGCACCGCTGAACCTGGAGATAGATCCAAACATCCATCAGGTGCGAAAAGATGAGAAGGAACAAATCAAGACCCTCAACAACAAATTCGCTTCTTTCATTGACAAGGTGAGACTTCATCAAGTGCTATGGAATCATGATAGAGAGGGAGCGAGACAGTCTTGTAGCTACAAAAATATGACTTCATAGATCTACAGTCTATTGCATATTTCCTATCTGCATGTCTTCACTAAAGTAATCAAAAAAGAATGATCTTCTAAACAGTTACAAGGCAGAAAATTAGACATCAGTAACTAGTAATAAGAGGATTAGAGCCAGGTTTTGTGCCTGAGAAAGAAGATAAATTAGCTCAAATGGAGTAAGCCAGTTTCAGGTCCAGATCTAGCTGCTTAACCCAGCTCTCTGTAGGGAATCACAGCAGACGTGTTAGTCCTTATTGCTTTATTGCCTGCAAGCTAAAGTCCTTTTCATATTGACTCAAGTCCTTCCTTGGCTTTTACTTGGGTAAATACATAGTATACATGAGCAAAAGGGAAGGCAATTAAGTACTTGTCTTTTAACCTACAGTACTCGGATCTTAGCTTTAATGAAGGAAGATAAATATCTTACGAAGAAAGAAAAACCAAAGGATGTTAAAGCAAGCGATGAAAGAGCTGAACCCACATTTTCTAATGATTGCTCATTGGCTTGCTAAATTAAATTGTCTCTAAAGAGAACTGTCCACTGAGGGCAGATTTGCTTAGCTGCTGGATGGGCTAACATAGCCCTAGATAATCTAGAGGATATTCACAGCTGGATTTAATACTCTTGGTTTGGGATTTCCTCGGTTTGTGCTATGCATCAGTCCCAGTTACTGATTCTTGGCCATCAGCATGCTCACAGGTATCTTCTGCTAAGCCTCTTCTGCTTCCCAATGCTCAGGTTCGCTTCCTGGAGCAGCAGAACAAGGTGCTTGAGACCAAATGGACCCTCCTGCAGGACCAGGGTCAAAAAAACAACTCAGGCAAAAACAACCTTGACCCACTCTTTGAGGCTTATATCAACAACTTGAAACGGCAGCTGGCCAACCTGCTCAACGAGAGAGGACGCATGGATGGGGAGCTGAAGAACATGCAAGACCTTGTTGAGGATTTCAAGAACAAGTGAGTGCCTGTTAGCAGCACATCCAGGCACCCTGGGGTGAAATGGGATGCAAATACCTCAGCTTAGCGTTAGGCAGTAGGATTAATCTCACTTAAATTTAGCTTTCTGAAAGTCAAACATTTAGCCTGAGATATTCATCAAACTTTCTACAGGAAAGGGAAAAAACATATGTCCAGTCTGTGCTCTAGCCCGTAACATCGTACCTAACTAATCTCTCTCTAATATACCACTCCTGTGAGGTATCTCCCCCTGCAGAACCCCGGCCTTCCTCAACAGCAGCAGAAAGGTGGTCCACTGACATTTTTCCAACCAGAAAACACAGGTTCAGCCAGGACACAATGACTTGTGATGACACTTGCAAAGGAAAATAATCTAAAAAGGCTTTGCCCTCCTTGTTCCATATGCGTTACGTCAAAATGTCATGTCAACCTTTTGAGAAATGGGATTGTCACAAATTAGAGCTGGGCACTTTCCAGGAGGTTGATTTCAAAATGCCATACCCAGCCCAGATAACCTTGCAGTCCTACCTGTACAACTGTTCTGCTTACCAAGGTATGAGCCAAACACATCTTTTCCTTTATCCCTGCAGATATGAAGAGGAAATCAACCGACGCACAGCAGCGGAGAATGAATTTGTGGTGCTGAAGAAGGTGGGTGAGACAGGAGATGTTATGGATGCTGAGCTAACCGTAACCATTGCACAGGCTGCGGGAGTCCTAAAGGATGGCTGATCCCATGGAGCTCCATCCTCATCCTTTAAAAGTTGTCATTTGGATTGTGGTTTTGGGGGAAAGGAAAGGAGGGGGTTGGAGGATGGAACTGAATTTTTGTCCCACTCCTGTCCCATAACATACGCGCATGGTTGCCTGGGCAAAACAGACCATATAGAATCAAAGATGGTCAGCACTGCTGGAGAGCCCAGGTGCCAAGGCCAAATGGCCTGCACTCCCCTCCTTATCCACTAACAAAGTTACACAGAGCACTTCTTTTGGCCAAGAGATGTCCTCTTGGTGCTCCTTCCAGGGGGATGTGCCGAGCACAGCTTTCCCAGTCAGGCAGCACCACTGCAGCAGTGAAAGCGGCGGCCTCATCTCCAGGCTTGGCCAGTTGTTGGCTGAGCTAAAGAAGAGGTACCAGGTGCTGTAGATGTCCTCATGGTTGCTCTTTTCCAGGATGTGGACGCTGCTTACATGAACAAGGTGGAGCTGGAGGCCAAGGTGGATGCCCTGACCGATGAACTCAGCTTCCTCCGAGCCCTCTATGATGCGGTACAGACACCCTCCTCCCCTGGTTTCTGTCCTGTTGTCACCCCCTGGACAGCAACTGCCATCATTCATGGCATCTGAAAAGGTAAGTGCAGCTGGCCCGAGATCCTGTGTGCTTCCTCGCAGGAGCTGGCTCAGCTCAGCACACAAGTGTCCGACACTGCTGTCATTCTGTCGATGGACAACAACCGGGACCTGGACCTCAGCAGCATCATAGCTGAAGTCAAAGCTCAGTACGAAGACATCGCTAACAGGAGCCGGGCCGAGGCGGAGGCTTGGTACCAAACCAAGGTGAACAGACCCATAGATGCCATGGGTGCTTTTCTGGGGAAAATTACTGCTGTCCCTATATGAGGCTGTTTGAGTCACATTTTGTCCACCTGGACATCTCAGATGGTTTACTCTTCCTTCTGAACCTCAGTTTGAGGAGCTGCAGGCCACGGCTGGGAAGCACGGGGACGACCTGCGCAACACAAAGGGGGAAATCTCTGAGCTCAACCGGTTGATCCAGAGGATCCGGTCAGAGATAGAGAACACAAGGAACCAGGTAGGAATGGCAAAAGGAGCCCACAGAGCCCCGTTCTGCGGTCCCTTAGCACCGCAGCCCTGCTTTGCTGATCGGGGACGTTAGCAGCCACAGAGTGTGATGTACCTCATGAAACGTGTTGAATGCCCTCCTGAAAAGGGTACCACGCTGTAACATATATTAAATCATTCTTGCCAGGCTGGCATTTCAACTCCAGCAATGTCAGCTGTGGGTGAATGACCTCAGTCATAACTTTTTTAATTAGCACCCCAACCAGAATGGTTTTCTTCTTTGGGTGACTCTTACCCAAAAAGAAAAGCAGCATTTAGGAGTCCTAATCCCTCCTCCTGCAGTGTGCCACCCTGCAGACGGCCATCGGAGACTCCGAGGAGCGTGGGGAGCTGGCCCTCAAAGATGCCAAGGCAAAGATGATTGACCTGGAAGATGCCTTGCAGAAAGCCAAAGCTGACATGGCCCGGCAGCTCCGCGAGTACCAGGAGCTCATGAACGTCAAGCTGGCCCTGGACATTGAGATTGCAACCTACAGGAAGCTGCTGGAGGGCGAGGAGAGCAGGTGGGAGCAAAATCCTTGCAGGAATAACAGCAACTATCGCTTTGCCCCTGTCAGCAGTTGGCCCCCCTGCCTGTCTCCTTCATTTTGCTCTAACCTCCCCCTTATCTGCCCTCCAACAGGCTGAGCGGAGAGGGACTCAACCCCATCAGCTACTGTAAGTACCACAGTGCTTGTCTTGCTTTGGGCCCGCTGGGAGCAGAGGCTGTGAGCAACCTCGGGAAAAGGGAGGTTTTGCCCAATATAAGACGTTCAGAACCTACCACCAGCATCAGTGGCTTTGGGTTCAAGTCCTGTAGGTCCAGGTGCTGATGATGGTGCTTTCTGGAACTGGGTGTTTGCCAAGCAGATGTCCAACCCTCTGGCTGTTTTTTCTTCCAGCTGTCATCAGCTCCAGCTCTGGTATGGCTGGTGGAGCTGGGTTAGGAGGAGGATTTGGTGGACTGAGCCTAAGTGGAGGCGGCAGCGGAAGCGGTTTTGGTCTTGGAGGCGGCGGCGGAAGCGGTTTTGGTCTCGGAGGCGGCAGTGGAAGTGGTTTTGGTCTCGGAGGCGGCGGCGGTGGTGGAGGCTACAGCTTTGGAAGTGGAGGAGGACTTGGACTCGGGGGTGGTGGTGGTCTTGGAGGTGGATTTGGAGGAGGCAGTGGCCTCGGCGCTGCAAACCGTCTTGGCTACGGAGGAGGTGGCAGCAGTGGTCTGAGCACCAGCGGAGGGAATTTCAGCTCTGGAAGTGCAAAAGGCACCAACCCAGGTGTGAAAATTGTCTCCAAAACCTCCTCCAGCAAAAAAAGCATAAAAAGCCAAAGCCTGAAGAATGCTACACAGCCCGAGTAAAACCAACACCAGACCCTCCCCAAAACCATCGCTCCCACATTGCTCCTGCATTACTCCTGTATCGCTCCTGCACACCACCGTCCCCTCCACCCACCTCTGTTCTGGCTCCTCGCACTGTAGTTCTTCAGCATTTGGATCACAGTTCCAGAAAAGCAGCGGAGCATGTGCTAAATGGATCTCTCAAAGTACCTGAAACTGGATTAAAAGGAAAACACGGGCCTAAGCGATTTTCTGAATGGGGAAATGCTTTTTTTGTTTGTTTGCTTTTAATGAGGCTGCGCAGCTTGTTTGTAATTGTGGCTAGCTGACAGCCATCAGCTAAGACAGATCAAATAGCAGTGAAGATGTAATAACTTGGGTTTTTAGCTCAGTTCTGGCCCACAGAAGCCCAGGGGTGGGCTGGGAACTTGGCTCCAGCTCAGCCTGTTTTGTCTTCTCTGATGGGATGAACCAAACCTGCTCCTTCAAGTTAAGCAACTCATCTTTATCAGAGATGCGGGTTATTTTTCTGCTATGTAGAAAATCCCCAGGAGGCTGCTGAAAGATCCCAGGCTGTGGTTTGCAAGCGTGGGGCCCCCTCTTAAAATATCCCTTATTATGGGAGTACAGAGCCTGTTAGGAGTCACTTCTGAGTCACTCAAGTGTGATGGAAAATCCCTTTTTTCCCCATTCACAGCCAAGCTTCAAAAACCATGTTTTTTCCAGATGTGCTGAGCATTGCAGCTGTGTGAAGTCAGGCACACGAGCCTGGCCAGTGGTTCAGAGCGTAGTATTAGGAAAGCAGTCTGAGATACCTCCATCTGGAAAGTACCACCCACAGGGACGCAGACTCAACTTGCAACAAGCTTATCTAAAAGGAAGCCCAAACTACTCTCACATTCCTGTCCTTTCTCTTCTTAAATGAAAGTTTGCCCACAGTAGTACCTTCCACGTAATCTCATGGGTGTATTTTGTCAGACGAGCCACCAGTGACTGATCCAAAGCATGTGGAAAAGAGCTAGTTCTCTAAATTATAGGATTTTTTAAACTCTAAATAAAAACTGAGGCAGAGAGTTCTTCAAAAGCAAGGTCAGTGTTTGCAGTTAAATTGGGTTGCTGTCCTGTCTCATGCTAGGTTTTGGGGGAATGGCTTAAAAAATGCCAAAATCATCCAACAGTCCAAGTGTCGCTGACTTTCTCCACTGTCTTGGTAAGCAGCAGTGAAGGTGAAAGTCTGAGACAGTGAAAATTACACTGAAAAAAAGTGCCTGAAGGCCCATGTCCGCACTGCTCCTGGGGGTATTTCAGCATCTCCACTATGTGTGGGTTTCTCTGCAAAAAAAAGACAGTCATTCGGTAAACTGAAAAGCGCAGTCAGGTTTCAGCCCAGCACATGGGGAATGAGGCAATCGGGAGCAGGAGCCCAAAGGCACGCCAGTGCCCAAAACCTACTTTTCCTTTTTCTAATGGAATTTACCCCTCTAGCCTTCCACCATGTCTTCTTATTTTTGTGAACGTACCATTAAAAAAGAAAATTGCAGCTTTTTATACTTCCATGATAGTGATACGATGCTGTGTTTTCCTTCCTCTCTCTTTTTGGAACATGTCCAATAAAACTGGATTGTAATTTATTTGTTCCTACATCTTTTTATTCTAAAACAGAACCAGTAGCATGAAATATTCCCAACCTTCAGCAGAGTGAGCTAGGGGGGGCCTTTTGCTTTACGCTGGGGGAAAAGTTTCAAAATTCTGACAGAATTATAATGAAAAGCTTGAAATCAGTTGTCCCAAAACAAATTGAAGAATCGGAGAAAAGAGGAGGAGGGGAAGGGTGGGGCTTTATCCATTAAGTGACAAAAACAATTAATCACCATTCATTTCTTAACATATGATTAGGGTTAATCCAAAAGCCTTTCTTCAATGGAAGGGAGGGTTTTGCACAGCTCTGCTAGCTTGGGCAAAACCCCAGTATTTAATTTTTGCTTTCTTAAAAAGACGTAGCAAAACCGAGCATATACAAAGCTCTGGGGGAGGATTTTATCAGGATGATCTAGATTGAGGATGGGTTTCGGTGAGTTGGAGCAGAGCAACTCACCAACCGATGCAGGTATTTTGGTCAGCCGTCATTGCAAAAGGAGAATAAAAAAGGGGGGGGGGGGGAGAACCTCAACATCAACCCA